GAAATAAATGGAATTTGGAAATGCAAGAGTTAAGAAGATCTAGATTGTCCTCAAGATACATGACATTGTTAATAATAACAATAGTATTACAGATACTATCACCTTACCAGGGGTTGATCTTGGCTTTGCTTCCATTGTAAGTCAAGGAAATTACTGAATGCATATACTTTCAAACTATTCTAAAGTCAAAAAATTTTCCAAATGAACCATTGTAAATCAAAGATCATCTGTATATTTATATATATATATGTCAATATATAAAAACATATATAAGTATACATAAATGTACTGGTCTTATTGTTTATTTTGTCATAGGCAGTTTTGTCTTTGAATTCTAATTTCTTAAGGCTTCTGAACTACATTCACATATACCTCAAAATAGCTAATTTTGTAGTTGTTGGAAAAGAATAATACATACTTCACAAACGAATATTTTCAAATGGCCCATAAGAACTGAAAATACACTCCAAATCATTATTAGTTATTAGAGAAATAAAAATTAAAACTGCAATGTGATAATGGTTTTTACTCACTTGAGTAGCTAAATTCAAATGACTGATAACACCAAATGTTGGTGAGAATGTCAAGCAATTGGGATTTTCGTATTTTGTTGGTAGGAGTGTAAAATGGCGAAATCACTTTGGAAAACTGTTGAAAATTTTCTTCAAACTTAGCACCAGAAAAATAGAAAAGCCTGTAGGCATCTGGAATTTTAATAAGTTTTTTTGGGAAACCAGGATAATACAGCAAGACTCTGACTGATGTAGTAGTTATGGATCAATAAACCAATTGAATGGACCAATGCTGGAACATATTCGAGAAGATATTGTATCTGAATTAAACTTCATGGAAGTTTATTTTAAGTTACACTGAATTAGATCTGTTCCCAAAATGGTTGTGGGTAACACAAAGTTAGAGATAAACGGCACTAATAGTCTCACACTTACTATCCCATAATAGTCTATGAACTAGACTGGTTTCTATATTCTATAAAATATCCTGTGATATATAAAGGGTTCCCAAGGAGAAGGATTGTTTGACATGGTGGGCAAGATTTATGGAAAATGGCATTGCCTTTGAATATTCAATATCAGTAGACTGTAATTAACTCTGGCATTGATGTCTTTTTTAGTGAAAATAAATTCAAGATCAAAGCTGTTGAAACTTTAAATTATTCTGATCCTTAAAAGGCTGTGATTATGGGACCTGAATCACTAACAGATAGCTGCAACCTAGGAAGTTGTAGTATTTGTTTCCCTGATTATAAATTAAATTAGCCTTTTTCCATTACCTACATTGTTTTTTTGTGTTTGTTTTGTTTTGTTTGTGAGATGGAGTCTTGCTCCATTGCCCAGGCTGGAGTCCGGTGGAATGATCTCAACTCACTGCAACCTCCGCCTCCCAGGATCAAGCAATTCTCCTGCCTCAGCCTCCCCAGCAGCTGGGATTACAGGAGGCTGCCTCCACACCCAGCTATTTTTTGCATTTTTAGTAGAGATGGGATTACACCATGTTGGCCATGCTGGTGTCAAACTCTTGACCTCAGGTGATTTGCTTGCCTCTGCCTCCCAAAGGGCTGGGCCTACCTACATTGTTTTACAGAATGTTGTAAAAGACTACCAGATAAGATCCTTTCCCTCTTTACTTTAGATCTTCGTTATTGATTAACTTCCTTTTCCCTTGTCTTAAACAAAGACCTTAGGACTATTATATTGTCAAAGATAAAATGTTAAAAATACTAATTTAAACTGGAAAAAGAAAACAAACTATAATTAATCAATTTGCTGTAACTCATAAATCAGCTTTGTATTGGAAAATGTAATTCTGCTAAATTTCTTTGTTTTCTGCCTATATAAGTAAAACCTTAACTTTTCAGCTTTGAGGCATTGATCTCATTTCTTTGGATTCTGTGTTTCCCAGATGGCCTTCCTTAGCTTTGCACTTGAATAAACACTTAAACTGAATTCTCATCCTATATATTATTTCAGGTTGACATGTCTTTTGTCACCATTTTCTCAATTATATTTATCTTTTGTGTCTTTTTTCTTCTAATCATGTCATATATCTTTGTTATTAAGCCTGCATGTAGATGCATTTAATATTCTCATACACTGGCAAATTAATGCCATATTTATCAAATAAGCATAAGCAAGTGTGTACACATACACATATGCATAGCTTTGTATACAAACCATTACTTAAACTGCAGACCAATTATTCCCAGAACATTAGGGCCATGCTCCAGGTCCAAGGCAGTAATATTTTGACACAGACCACAGGAGTAAAGTGAAAAGTTATAAATTGGGCAAGCAGAGGCCAAATGCAAAAATGTATGCAGGATCTCCTCTGGGATGTGTGGTGCCTGGGACCGCTGTGGGTTATGAACAATTGAAACAAACTGTATGAACAATTTGAAAAAGATATGTATTAAAAACCTCACTGACCTGTGTAATATACAGTATAGTAATTTATCTAGGTTAGGATTATGGATAAAGCATTAATTGTATATTTGGCTGTTGTCCAGTTGCTGCATATAAAGATTCTTAATTGTGTCCAGGCAACTTTCTCTTTCTGTTCAGTTCCATGGACTATCCATATTTTTTTATTGTCACAACAGGCTGTTTCTGGCCATTTAATTTCTGCCGTCACAAACAGAAAGTATCAAAATTGTTATTATCAACAATGCCATGGATTTTCAGAACAAGATATATCTTCTTGCCTCTTATATTTCCACATTGCAATTATTTAATGCTAATTGCATCATTACTTTGTTGGGTTACCCATGCAAAATGTCTTCAATGACTTTCTGAAATACACACACACACACACACACACACACACACACACACATTTTCTGCTTCATTAGAGATGATCACAAATACCAGGCTTAACCTGTGCGTTCTTGAAAATGCAAATGATATTTTTTTTTCTGTTCTTGTTAAGTTTATTGTTTGGAACTTTATAGTATAAATGTAGAACGACATTATGTTCTAACCATTTTAATTATTTAGACTCTAATCAATGCATTTCCAGAAGGTGATCTCTTTCAATGCTAACTACACTGGCTTTCTGTTGCACAGTGTTACCAGTTTGGATTATGAGTGACTCACATGTGCACAGAGCAAGAATATATCATTCATGCAAGGAATTTCCATACCTCATCTACAGTTATTTAACACCAATGAGAGAGCATAATATTGTTATATCAGTTGGAGATAAAACAGGACATAGATTGAAAGTGCCTGGGGGCATTGCAGAGCTACAGTCTCAAAAGGTTTCAGAGTCTGCAGGTATAGCCCCTTCTGTGGGAATGCCTGACAGGTGGTATAGAGCCTGCAGAGAGGATGGGATGATCACTCAGGATGCCAGTGCCAGTGTAATAAGGTAAAGGATGTCTGCTGCTCCCACTGCCAGCCACTGCCAGTGGGTATTGTAGCTAGAGGACAGCATGAAGGTTTAAACACAGATGGGTGAGAGCTAGTGTATATCCCTAACACATGTCTCAAGCCCAAGGTTTAGCAGCGAAATATTGGTAGAACAGAGTCCTGAGTTTGTGTATCCTATGTTTGATATGAGTGAGAATCACCTCAAATCAACATGTCAACATCCTTCTGGTCCCATCTTGTTTGACTTCATGAAAGAAAATTACTGTCCAGAGTGATTTCATCTGTTACCAACTGACTCTTCTGAAATCAGGCCCCAGCCACGGGCTTCCAGGACAACTTGATAGACATGGATCACAGAGTTCCTTAGGACAAATGTCTGACTTCACAAGCTGGTGAGTACAGGATGAAGAGAGTCATAATTCTTTGAATAGGAGAATTAGGGGCACATGTGTTTGGTCCAGGGTCAGTGCACCTCATCTCAACAACATTGCTGTTCTCAGCTGGTTGAGGAAGCTAATCCAAAGAACAGGGGTCCCCTGAGAGATTCCAGTACAGTGACTCTGCTCTGCCCTAAGTGTGGTGTTGCAGTTTGATTATGAACCATTTAGGGCCAGCATTATGGTGCACTCCCATCTATACTCTGGATACTATTATGCTTATATTAATTTTTTTCACTCTATCAATATATTTAACCAGGAAGTTGTTTTATACACGTCGCAGATCCTTTCATATCACTGAGAGAAGAAAAAGCTTTGTCTTTATTTAGCATGTCTTTATTTATATACGGTACAGCTATTGATGGCCTTGATGCTGGTCTGTGCTTACCACTCAGCACTGTGGACCACAGAGATGAAGACTGTGCTGATTTCAGCTACTCCTTATTACTATACTACATGAACCTGCACTCTGTTTCTGAAATCTCCCTCTTCTCATTACCAACACTAAACCCAGGCTACTCCTTCTACCTCCCATTTTACACACACATACACACATATATATATCTCCTATTAGTTCAAAGGAGAGTTTATCAAGTATTCACTCATGATCACAAGGTCCCACAATAGGCCATCTGTAAGCTGAGGAGCAAGGAGAGCCACTCTGAGTCCCAAAACTGAGGAACTTGGAGTTCAATGTTCAAGGACAGGAAGCATCCAGCACAGGAGAAGGATGTAGGCTGGGAGGCTAGGGCTATCTAGTCTTTTCACATTTTTCTGCCTGCTTTATATTCTAGCTGCATTGGCAGCTGATTAGATGGTGCCCACCCTGCTTTTCCCAGCCCACTGACTCAAATATTAATCTCCTTTGGCAACACCCTCACAGACACAACCAGGATTAATACTTTGTATTCTTCAATCAAATCAAGTTGACACTCAATATTAGCCATCACAAAGAGAGAGAGAGAAACAGCAAGAATCTGAAAGAAGAAAAGGAGCAAAAATGACAGTAACAGCTGGACTGAGAGAGCATTAAAATAAACATGGGAGTCAGATATTTTGGAGATAAAAGACAAAATTTTGGATTCTGTAAAAAATAGAAAGCTATGGAACAGACACTGCTGCTGGATTATAACTTATTTTGTTCATCTATAAAAAGATTTATCTGATCAGTATCCTTCAGGATCTAAATTCACCTAGAGAGAAGATATATGGAAAAAATGGAGCTACCTCTCACCCTTGTTTGCAAGCAATTCTACTCCAAAGCCACCTCAACCTTCAGCATAGTTGCCTTCTCTATAATCTTTAGCTTTTTTCCAGGTACATGGAGGGAAGTGGGAGAAATGGTCAGCAAAGTTAGCTTTGTGTTATCTGTCAACACTAAACCACTGCTAGTCAAAATGAAAAAATCTGACAAGCATGACCATTACAGAAGGTTAAAAATGGAGCTCAGATGATGATTATCTGGGTTGTATATGGATATATTTATCCAAACTGTATCACAGAATTATTCTCTCTGTACAAATATTTTCACAACCTGCTCTCGGATTTGCTTGGTCCTGACTCCATAAATGACAGGGTTAAGGGCAGGTGGGACAACCACATAAAGGTTAGCCAAAAGAATATGGATATAGCGGGGAATGCTTTGGCCAAAACGATGGGTCATAAAAGAAAAAAATGCTGGTGTGTAAAAGCACAGCATAACACAGACATGGGAACCACAGGTGTTGAAGGCCTTTAGTCGGGCATCTTGAGAGGGAAGGCGAAAAACAGCTCGAAGGATAAATATATAGGAAGAGGCAATCAGGATAACATCCACAATAATATAAGAAATCACCATGAGCCCATAGATTATGTTGATCTTGATAGGTGCACAGGCCAACCGGGCCAGACCCATGTGCTCGCAGTATGTGTGAGGTATGATGTTATGCCCACAGAATGGCAGACGCAGAATGAGAAACACAAATGGAGTTACAAGAACTAAATTTCTTCCAACAACCACAGAAGCTAGGATACTGATGATTTTATTGGTGAGGATCATGGTGTACTGGAGAGGGTTGCAGATGGCAACAAAGCGGTCGTAAGCCATGACAACCAACAGAACAGTCTCCATGCCTGTAAACATATGAATAAAGAACATCTGAAGAAGGCAGCCCCCAAAGCTGATCTCTTGGAGGTTGAACCAGAAGATTCCTAGCATTTTGGGGATGGTGGATGTGGACAGACCGAGATCAATCACAGACAACATGGCCAGGAAGTAGAACATGGGCTGGTGTAGGCTGTGTTCAGTTTTGATCACAAAAAGAATGGTCATATTCCCCACAATGGCAATCAGGTACACAATACAGAATGGGAAAGCAAACCAGACGTGCAAAGTTTCCAGGCCTGGTATTCCTAGCAGGAAGAAGAAGTGGGGATAGAAGTGGGTGTCATTGATAGAAGGCATTCTCCTGGCAAGTGTTACTGAATTCCTAAGAAGGATCTCACTTTCTTTAAGGCCATCTCTTGTCTAAGTCCTGTAGAAACAGAAAGACTCTTATCAGTGTGCTGGAGGTAATGGTATAGGTGGTTAATTTACAAACATTAGAGATTCACTTTTTTCCAGAGGGTAATTGAGAAAGTCTCTTAACACAGATTATTGTTCTGAGATCCATCATAGGCAATATTGCTCATGCCTTTATTTTTTTAATCTTTGAGATATTCAAATGAACTGGAAATATTTCACAATGCAGTGCATATTTATATTGTGGCATTCCCTTCCATTACTTTCCTAGGTAGTCCTTCTTTACTTTTGGGGAAATCACCATACCATGTGTTTTTCAAAGTATGGTCTTGAGGTCTCTGGGGCTTTCTAAGTACCTTTCTGGTACTTACAAGCTCAAAACTATTTTTATAATAATAGAAAATTTTTAGCCATTCTCACTTTCATTCTCTCATAAGTACACAGTGACATTTTCCAGAAGTTATATGGGGTGTTACCATAATAGATTAAATACAATTATAAATGACGTTATGAGGTTTCAGCTCTATTAACTTAGTAAAAACAGTTGCAAAGGAAAATAATGCAAAGTTCACAACTAGTTTTTTGAAAAATAGTTATTTTAACAAAAAGTATCAAATTATGTTTTTATATAATAGTTAATATTATTTTAACATTAAATATTTAAATTTTGCTCTAATGTCTAATAATATAAATATTACAAATATAATATTAGAAACTAAAACTCTTTTGGTATCTTACTAATTTCCAAAAGTGACAAAGATTCCTAGTACAAAGGAGAACTATTATTGTCTACCACTTCCTATGTTTTGTTATAATATAAGCGTAAGGATATGTCTCATGGACCTTATACAGTGACATTATATAATGGTAGTTAATCAGATAGTCTCTGTTAGAATTTTCCTGGTTCTAACTCAGCTAAATTGTTCAGTGCATTTCTATTTTGGATTAATTGCTATTTTTGATGCTTCTAAATCTTCATGAACAATACAGTTTTTCCAATAAATGGAAATAAAAGGCCTTGTGTGTATCTGCCAAATTATGTTTCTCTTCCTTACAGTCTATAACATCAACAAGTAACATAAAAAAATTTCCATGTCCCCAAATTGTGCGTAGCTTCAGGTGTAAAAAGATCAAATATTTAGCAAATTTTCATATTGAAATTAAAATATTTTTAAGGAACCTTCATTGCCTCCTTGACAATAACAAGGAAAATTGCCTTACTTTAGCTTTGTGTCCTTAAAGACATTGTGCAACTCTGTAGTAACTAATGTAACCTGATTGTATAATATTTATGCATGTACTGGCCTTATTTCTACAAAGAGAATAGCTGCAACTAAAAGCTGAGAACCAGCGCTAATAATTTTAAAATGCTCAACACTGCCACATGAATGTTGGTTTCCAATTGTTCAGCATTTAATTTAATCAGGATTGGGGTTTGTAATAAGTGTGCTTTTGTTTGTGTGTAAGTTTGTGTGACAGACAGAGAGAAAGAGAGAAGGTTGGAGAGATAGGAGTAGAGAGAGAAATCATGTTTTATTATGTGTGCGGCTGCATATACCAGTTGTCCTGTAACTTTGCCGGTTAGCTTTTGCACAGCAGAAGTACACAGGCAAAGGGGTTAATAACTGCCCATTCTATACGGGAAGAACAAGAACATCTCTTGCTCCCAGAGAAGCTGAGAGAAAAATTGAAATAAGAACATAACGTTTGCCTATATTTTGGAAAAGATGCCAGGCTGAAAAGTCAGAGGGCAGTGGTTTTTGTGATTTCACCTAGAAGGGTGTGAGGACATAGCTAGGATGATGTGCTGTGAGATTTACAATCCAGAGTCAGCCCAGTCTTAAGAGTGGCTGTTTCTCAACATGATACTTTGCCAGCTGAGAAAAAACATTCTCAGGGAGATGGCAAAGGGGACGCTTCGCTGACACTGCAATTCAAAGCTGCCAGGGGATCCACCCTTTCACAGTTTTACCTGAATTCTTGCCTTCTTCCTGTTATAACTGTATGCCACAGTAGCAGTGTATGGCCAATAACCTTAAGATCATTTTTTGAGGGCAAAGTATTAAGTTCATTCTTCTTTAGATATGTACATTGACAAAGATCCCCACCGAAGTCCATCTCAAAAGGCAAATTCCTAATAACTAGCAATTTCTCTCTTTTTGTGCTTACCAATGTTCATATTTTGAACTTGTGATTTTTTTTTCTTTGCTGGATTTTTTTTTTCTGACTATAGTACTATATTACAGAGGTCTTCTATGGACCTTAAAACTATTCGGACATGGCTTGGAAACCTGCTAAACCACTTACTTGCTTGAGGCCCTTGGACAATTTCTTTAACTAGATAGATCAGTTTTTTTTTCCTGTAGAAATGAGATGATAAATTATAACTAATGTCATTTATTTTAATGATAAATAAGACCATTGTTTGCACAGGTGCTAGTACATAGTGTATCCTCAACAAATTATAGTTACTTATTTTATTAATTCTCCCAAATACTTTATTTATTTAATCCAAGATAGCTAAAATAATTCACCTGTTAGCAGAAAGAAGTTATTTTATTGTAAAACGTTTAATTTATGTCACAGTTGGATATAAGATTAGATAAAGGAGGGATGGCTCAGAAGAGACCAAAGTGAAGAAATGGCACAGAGTCAGACATTAATATTTATCTCTAGATTTTTTTATGGATACAAATATGACCCAATACTGCTCATTTAGAAAGGAAAGAATTTTCTCCCTTTATTCTTACAGGTTTCCCAAGCTTGATCAATGGATAAAGTGGATAAAGACCTTCATTCAGGCTCTTCCGTAATGGTGCCATCGAAGGTTGGGGTCTGGCTGATTTAGCAGGGGTATTGTGCTTACAATAAAAATGGCTTGGGTATGGGTCCATAAAGTAGTAACTATACAGGGAACCAAGTTACAATTTGCAACATTAAATTCATTCAGACAATGTGGGAAAGAGAGAATAAAATTGTACAGATCAAATGTGTTAATATCCATGTAATTTTATTTGAATACTGACTTTAAGTAACACCCACCCACCACCTTAAACATCCACATATAAATGAAGTCTGCCATAACATCCTTTTGTCTTATTGACACTTATGACTGTATTTGTGGTGTTTTGGCTGTGAACAGTGTACTCTGTGAGTGTGTGTGTGTGTGTGAGAGAGAGAGAGAGAGAGTGTGTGTGTGTGTGTGTGTGTAGGAGAGAGAGGGGAAGAGGAGGGAGAGAGAGAGAGAGAGAGAAAGATACAGAGATACAGAGACAGATAGAAATTCGGTACATTACTAATTGGTATACCACTGACCTCACCTATGGAAGTCTGTTCCAATCCTATATGCTCTGCTGTGTTCCTCTGTGAAGAGGATGGTGCAATGGTGCTTGGGATAATTCTTCAGAAAAGTGGAAGAACCTAGCCTCTTCTATTCCTCATTTGCCTTCTTCTTTCCTCTGTAACTTCTCCTTTCTGCCCAAGCGTTCTTACCTTTCTAATATTTCTTCTCCCAAACCTCACTTGGAGCAGAATTGCAGCATGAGCCCAGGTTCTTAAAGACAGCGATTAGTTTCACCTTCAAGCCTCTGAGCAACGAACATGCCTAGTAACGTGGAGAAAACTTTATGGTGAGTGAGTGCATCCTTATGACCAAGCATGTCCCAGAATCCCTGAGCCTAGCCTTCAGAGTCCTCTGGGCATAAACATGGATTCAAGGGTCATTAAGTCTTAGCAAGTCTTTATTTCTCTTTATTGCATCTGCAGAGAAACAGCTTGCTAGATATAACTCCTTAGCTCAGGGGAACAGATGTGTTATGAAATGATGGGATGGGAACTATCCAGAAGAGAAAGGAATCTGTTTGGCAGATGATGTTAATTCAGCTTCCCTCAGGAGCCATGAAAGCATTGATTTTATACCATTAAGTCTTCACTGTGTGACTATGAAAATAAAACTGTTCTCAGCAACTTTTCTGTTTTAATATATTTGTGTAAATCCTGATGTAGTTGCACAATGGTTACAATTGAGGCTTCAAAAGATGAAGGAGAAGACATCTAAAATAGACAAATTCAAGAAGGGAGCCTCTCAGGAAACACTACTTCTGCTCTGGCTGGAAGGGACAATATAATATGTTTTATCGGGAAAATGTAACATTTTCCTTTGTGGCACAACTCTGTTTATTGGCAGTGTGTATGCCTGCAGATAATAGCAGCAACTTTCTTCCAATCCAGCAAAATTTTCCTTCTTAGTCTATGACTAATGGTGAATAGTTACAGTCTTTGGAGAGAGGCTTGCATGTGTTTCAGCTCTTTTGGAAGAAGGTGAAGAAAACTCCACATTTTCCTGATAAACATATTATATTGCCCATTCCAGCCAGAGTAGAAGTAGTGTTTCTTGAGAGACATTCTTCCTGAATAATGATAGAATGGACCTGATAGTACTCCCAGGGCATGCTACGGAGCCTGGGTATTCTGACTGTAGTTAGAAATAGACTGATGGAAAATTGAATACATTAGACAATTAGTTGGTACCTTTTGCCTTCTAAGTTGGGACTATTTTGAGTTGTTAGCACAGAAATAGTAATGTTGTCTGTGGTCCAAGAGAGATTCTGGTTTGATCTGCCATGTTCTTGTATTCATTACTTCTCTTGATTAACGAGAAAGTGACTCCCTAGCTTCCTGATTCTCCTTCATTGTGCCCACCTTCCTTATAGTATCCACATTCATCTTCCCAAATCAAGTCTGACTCTACTCAATTTCTGCTTAAAATTCCTTTCCATAACCCCTACATTCTCCATTGTATACTGCAGACTTTACAAACACTCCTGTTGCCAAAGTCCTTCACTCAGTATCCAATCAGCCTTTTATACTTTCATTGTACTTCATGACTCCCAAACAGACATCCTGTCTTTGATAATCAAAAGTCCTCCATATGAAATAACTATCTCTCATTTCCACTTTGCTTCAGCACTTTCTCAATTGTCCTATACTTCTTAGTGATCTTTTACATGAATCAATCTGATAGACTCTTTGTGTCTTTTGTGTTTTCATATCAGTTTGTACCACTATTATAACAGGCAACTTTTCTTTTGTGTTGGTTTTGTGTTTTCTCTCTTCCATTATTTTATGGATTGATATTACAGGGATGTTTAAGCCAACTTTATCCTTCAGTTCACCTAGTACAGTGCTTTGATTATAGGAGATGCTCTGAATTACTGAATTATTGAATTACATTTTTTTAAAACATAAAAATTCTAGTTCTGTGAGGGTCACAATATCATGTAATTGCATATCTCCTAATCTGTCACTGTATCTACCCCTTTCCTGTTCCTAAGATTATTTCACTGTGACTTCTGAAATCAATTTTTTACAAGCAGTGGTATTATTTTTGGCCTTAAATCACGTCTGATGTTGTTTCTCTTTCTTTTGAAACAGAAACTCAGCTGTTCCCTGAGGACATTACTTGTCCTGAAAAGTGTTGAGGGATTGGATACATTTTCCCACTATTTTCACTATTTCCTCATACCAAATAGCCTAAAGCCTAGAGACTGTTTGTCTTTGACTTTTGACAATTTGACATTATAATGCCTCCGGGAGGACCTTCTTGGGTTGAATTTACTTGGGGAATTTTGAGTTTTTCGGATCTGGATATCCACATCTCTCTTCACATTTGGGAAGTTTTCAGCTATTATTTTATTAAATAGTTTTTTTTTTTTTGCCATTTTCTTTCTGTTCTCCTTCTGGAATTCTCATAATTCTAGAATTCTCATGATATAAATATTTTTCCACTTAATGGTGTCCCATTAGACTGTAGAAGTTGTGGTAACACAGTAGTAATGGTGGCACCGTTTGTGTGCCCCATTAAGGGACACCATTATTTCTTCACCCTTTTTCATCCTTCTTTTGTTTTTCTCTAATTTCAAATAACCTGTAAACAGATTTTTTTTTCTTCTGCCTGACCAAATTTGCTGTCGAAACTCTCTGTCATAATTTAAAACCTTATTGAATTCTTCAGCTACAGGATTTCTATTTGATTCTTTTTTATGATGCATATCTTTTGTTGAAATTCTCGTTTGTTTCATATATTGTTTTCCTGATTTTATTGAATTGCCTACGTTTTATTTTCTTGTATTTTATTGAGTTTTCTCAGGACCATTATTCTGAATTTTTTTTGGCAACTTGTTGATTTCCTTTTTATTGGAGTCATTACTACAGTGTTATTTCCTTTGGTGGTATCATATTTCTTTGCCTTTTCATGTTTCTTGTGTCTCCGTATTGTTGCCTGTGCATCTGGTGGAACACTTACCTCCAAACTTTCCAGAGTGTTTTTTGTAGAGACAACTATCACCTTCAGTTGGGTTTTAGTGTGTCAGTTGGGAATAGTGTGGTGACTCTGTTTCCGGATAGGTGTAGTACAGTCTCTGTGCAGGTTCTTCATCTGAGTGCAATCTCAGCAATGACTGTGGGTACCTCAGTGGCTTGGACTGTAGAAGTTTGAGGTAGCACAGCAGTAGTGGTGGCACAGTTTGTTACGTCCTTAGTGTCAAGGGCTTTTTCCCATTTATACATCACCGTATTCATTTTGTATATTATCCCATTTATACATCGCTGTATTCATTTTGTAATATTTTTGTAGACATAATGCAATATGTTCTTTATTTATAAACATATATAAAGAACATATATAAAGAACAAGTATGTTCTTTTCCTGCATAATCATGCTTCTATCTTGATTTATGTTACTTTTCTTGAACAATCCCTTCTAGTATTTCTGCTATAACATATCTATTGGTAACAACTTCTCTCTGCTTTGGTTCTTTGCAATGTCTTTTTAATCCTTTAAGAAGATATTATTAGTGAGTATAGAAATCTACATTGGCAATTTATATGTTCTACTATATTTTTAGAAATAGCGTATTACTGTCTCCTTGATTCTAGAGTTTCTTTTGAGATATTTACTGTTAGCCTTATTATGGCTCCTTTGAAGATTACTAGACATTAAATTTTACAATGAGGAGACTCAGCTGATAGGATTCCTCAGATTTGACATGACCTATAAGCAGCTGCAGTAGTGCTGGGCTCGAAGTGCAGTGGCTTGGGTGGAGCCAGGGTCCTAGGCTCAGGATCTCACAAACTATAACTTTCCTTCTGTTACTTTCATTAAGATGTAATTGTTTATTCATTGTTCTGGTTATCTGTGTGAGGCAACTAAGAGCTAGAACATTTTAGTAGACCATCTTGCTAACATTGTCAAGATTAATGCCTTGATGAGAGGATATTAACCATCACGTTGAAAGGACAGTGACATAGAGGCAATTATTTTTCAGTATATAATTGATTTACATTGGCCATTCATTTGATCCTCCTTCATATATCAAAAAGTCTATGGATTTTCCTGTGTTCTGCAATGCTGCTTGTCATAAATTATACATTTATACATATGTATTTCTGCTTCTGGACTATGTGGTTCTGCTTTTTGTCTGCTCTTGTACAAGTATTTCACAATTTTAATTAGTGATACTATAAAATAAATTATGGACTATAATAATACAAATCCTAAAATTTTGTTCTTCAGAATTGTCTGGCCAATTTCTTTTTCTTTCTTTTTTTTTTTTTTTTTTT